TGGCTCTCTGAAAAATCGAACTAGCTGTCTTAATTTCAAATGTTAAGCGAGTCCACCTCAATAAACCTATGGGCGAGTTTATTGTCGTAATTTCTTTGAATTCGTCGTCTATTTGGATTTGGTTGTATGCATTCTTTAAATCGATTTTAGCAAAATATTTCATTCCTGCAAAGGAATGCAATATGTTTTCTATATTTGGAATAGGATATGAATCTGAAAAATTTTTGTGATTCACACCTACCCTAACATTACCATTAGGTTTCCTTACAACGACAATAGGGGATGCCCATTTACTGCCTCCTGGTTCAACATGGTGAAGTATTCCTTCTTCTACCATTTTGTTCAGCTTCTCAATTACCATCGGTTTTTATATGTATGGGAAGCCTACGACTCTGAAAATATAACGGCGTAACATTTCTTTTTAGCTTAATGCTTGCTTTATAATTTTTTAATATTCCTGTTTCAAAACTTCTAACATTGACAGCATTCAGTAATTGTGTACTATCAACACTTACTAAGTCAGTACCTATTAGGCCATGAGTTTTTATACAGTCCATTACTATAATGGTGATTGTTTCAAGTCTCTTCGCTGTTTCAAATGTCCCCTGAAAAGAATGTAACTTTTTGATACAGGTTCCAGGGAATTGTTTTAGTTTTACTGGGCTTCTTCTTAACTTCGGTCTCCTTAATTTTTTTCAAAACTTTCTACGAATGAGAGTTACCTCCCTTCTTGTGTCGACTTGCATCTTTAAATTTATGCCATTCAACTTTATACTCTTGAACGTATTCCTTTTGTTTTTCTTTTCTATCGTAAAAACATCCGTTTGATTTTTTCTTCTGTCCGGTACTGTTTCCACATTTTTTACATTGTTACTTTGCCATTCACAGATGGCTTTAAAATGATTCTTTTTTCTACAATTATCACATATCTTTCCCTATTTTTCTTTTTTTGGCTCATGTTCATAACTGCAATACTTGCATTTTGATTTTGTTTTTTTCTTAATGGCACAATTCCATCATTTCTTCTTGTTTTTTTTATATTATATTTTTCAATCAACTCGTCTTGCTGTAAAAATTCAATACACGCTTCCAAATTCATATTATTGGATTGCAACCTCTCCAAAGCTTTAAGTCTTTGTGTAGTATCGTATAATGCTTCCACTGAATCAATTCCTCCTTTATTGTCATTCCATTTTGTCCAAGTTCATTAAAGTCGCAATACCTACTAGTATCTCTTAGTCTACTTAGATATTTCTTAATAGGTTCTATAGACTCTTGTCTTTACGCTAGAAGTTTGGTTCTTCCAGCAATGACCAATCTTTATTTTTGGTTGGATAGTCTTTAAAATTATGTCCTTAATGTCTTTAAAGTTTAAAGTTTCAATTTCCTCCGGGTAAATCATTAACGACACTTGCATCATGGCTTTACATCCCCTAGGTGGCCATAAATAAATCAGTGATTTATTTCTGCTTTTGGTCATCCGCTAATTTCTTCATTCTGGCCATTGCCTCAAAACACTTTAACCAGATAATAACCTCTTCAGGGTTTTCCAAATCCAACATGGTTTCGTTCGGCGACGCCATTTTGTTATGAAGTTGATATACGCACAATTGTAGTCGTCGTCACAAGTGACTTTCTCACACCAAGTAGATCTCGAGTTCTGCCTCTATATAATGCTAATTAGTATTAGCCTAACCAATCCCACTACACTGTTAATGCCTTTTCGAGCCTACCACTTGATTAAATTAATTATAAATACTAGACACGAGTTCGTTTTCTTCCTCTTCCTTGATTTCTTTCGCTAGAAAATGTAGTTGTAAAAAAGAAATCGTGTCTCGACCCTTTTCGGACGGACGCTATGAAAACATATTCACACACGCACATTACGAACATTACAAACTTAATTACAAACATTACGGAACATTCACTCCTTCAACTCTTCTGAATCTAAACGTTTACTCAACATATTCTCAAATTTACAGAATTCCTTCAACTCTCTCACAGTGAGTATTTTGAGCGGCAAGTTCATTCAACTTTTGTGAGCTCGGAAAAATTATTTCATTAATAAAAACTTTAATTCAGTCAAAGAGACATAATAACAACAAAAATAGTAACTCTTATGCATGTACATCAATACAGATTTAAAACATAAATCTTGTTTTTGTTATAAAACCGCTTTGTGCTCCTTGTTTATCTTGTTGCTTTTGCGTTTGCTTTACGCATTCGTAAAGTAAAAAAATGTACTGCTTGATTTAGGCCGTCAATACCGCTACAAGACAACAAAAAACAACAACACGACAAAAAACAATAACATTAAAAACAACGACAAAAAGATAACAAAAATCAAAAACAAAACAACACAAAAAACAACATTAAAAACAACAAAAACAATAAAAACAACGACAAAAAACAACATTAAGAACAACGACAAAAAACAACATTAAGAACAACGACAAAAACAATAAAAAGAACGACAAAAAAGGCAAAAACAGAACAACACGACAAAAGCAACATTAAAACAACGACAAAAACAAAAACAACAATAAAACAACGACAAAAAGTAAACAAAAAACAAAACACGACAAAAAACAACATTAAAAAAAATTAAAATGACAACAAAAACAAAAACAATAAAAACAACGACAAAAAAACAAAAACAAAGCAACACAATAAAAAACAACAAAATTAAAAACAACGTAAAACAATACAACAATAAAAACAACAACAAAAAAGAAAATAAAAACAGTAAAATATTAATATACTATTATTATAGAATTGCCAATAATCCAAAGAAAAATATACAAATGTAACAACTATTATGTGATAGAGGTCTGAAAAGCCGTTTAATATTTAATCAGTTTTAATATTGAATTTTCCACAAGAATAATTTATAATCTTTAGCTACAATTAACTATTTTGTTGCATGTAACAATTTCGCATTTTTAAAAAATGTTTTTAACTCAGTACATGTAAAAATACCCGAAGAAATCTAATGCGATTCGTAAAGGAAAAAATAACAAGTATTTTTGTAAATGTATTGAATAGAGTTTGTTGGATTAATCTACAAATTTTATCTTTACATCCAACTGTTACCGCTTGTAAAAAACAAATTCTGCTTTGTAAATCATTAAAAGTTAAAATATTCACCCCAAAAGCTAATACGACACATGCTGTCAAAAAAAATTATGAAAAATATATCCATAAGTCGTTTTGCAGTTGCACTGGGTACACTTTCTTTATGAATAATTTATACTTTTTATCTATACAATTAACTCAACTGTCGCGTTTAAAAATAAAAAATCTAGAAAACAAAATACTAAATTAAAAACATCCAAAGAAATATAAAACGAAACAAAAGCACTGTATTAAAATGTGGTCTTCCATTTTATCGACTTAATTACTTTGTTGACTCTTCCACTGATTCAATGTCCATGATTCCCAAGCACAAGCAAGCCCAGTGAGGAGTTAGGACACTCACTGATTATTTTGATGGATTCGTTATCTACGGTTTATCAATCCTTTTGTAGGTGATTTAAAGCCAGAAAATATTTTTAGATTTTAAAAATCTGTCTATATCTCTGAGATGAGGTATTATGATTACTTGCGTTATTTACATTATTCGGAATGTTATCCTAATCTTCATTGCTCTATCTACAACGTTTCGGCCGTTATACGCTACGGCCTTCTTCAGGTCATTGGAATGTCGATTCGAACCATTTATTTCGTCTACAGGGGTAGACTGCTCTTGTTCCACGTGCCATGCCTCTTCCGGATGTCTCAGTTATTTGCCTTTAACTCTCCAAGTTTTGGTTCCGCACTGCAGTGGACTGGTATTGAACTCACAACTCTTTGCGTCTAGTCACTGGATCTAAGCAACGTCTTTATCCACTGGGAAAGTGAAAATAAATGGAAATAACTGAGACATCCGGAAGAAGCATGGCACGTGGAACTAGAACAATCTACCCCGATTGACGAAATAAAGGGTTCGGTTCAAAATTGAAAAAATTATTTATTTATTTATTCTTTTTTAGATAATAATGATTTAGTTATACGTAGTCTTACTAATTAACCTTTAGCTGGCGAGGAGAAGAAGTGGATTCATATATAATCATACATTGATATACAAACAAAATTATAATTTGAATATAAAATGGGGGATCAATTTTACATTACAATCTGCATATAAAATGATCCCTCATTTTGTGAGCGCGCTTAGTTTTTGATATAATGGAATATGCGTACACCTGTGTTCCCCCTCACTGGAATATGATTGGCTGGTGTCCGTCATCAATACCGACGGACGTGTAGGTACGACAGAGTCAAAGAGCCTTAGTCTGAGAGCTAAGTCTATAACGACGCCCATTGGACTACGCCATTGATCTACACTTCTTACCTGCGACTACGACGCGTACCAGTCGATTACTGCTACCATATTCTACTTGGTTATAGTAGCCAAAATCACTTAGCTACTTCATTCAAATATATCCCTTTTCGGGACATATCATATTTATATTCCAGAGAACGTAAACAAATCTAAAATACATGTCTATGTCGCTAATCAGTATTACATTAATTGATTGATTCGTTTTTTACGGCTTATTAACCCTTTGCAGGTTATTTAAAGTCAGAACACATTTTTAGATTGTAAGAATTTTTTTCGATAATAATGATTTACTGATCCAAGTTTTTTTTTACTAATTAACCCATAACTGGGGGTAGAAGAGGCGGATTCCTGCCTTTCCCGAGACTATTTGCACGTAAGTAAATAAAACGAACCCAACTGGAATTGGAACTCGGCTCTCTGATTAACAATTACGAGCCGTTATCCATTACACCACCCGCACATCCAAGCTTATAGCACCTCGTATTCCCAATCAGTTACCCATCTAGGTATTTCCATTATAAGACTGTTATTCCTATTCTACAATGACAAAGACCTCAATCCATTTAATAAGGTTTTCTCTACGAAGTCGCTAATTATCACAAGAAAACTCCAACGATTACGACCATATCACGTTGAAAAACCGGTTCTCGCAAGATCACCGAAGTTAAGCAACATCGAGCCTGGTCAGTGCCTATAAGGGTGACCGCTTGGGAATACCAGGTGCTGGAGTGTAATGGATAACATCTCGGAGTTCCAATTCCAGTTGGTTCCTTTATATTCATTACGCACAAATGCGATTGGGAAAGGTATGAATTCACCTTTCCCCCCACCTATGGGTTAATTAGTAGGGCTCGTATCAATAAATCATTATTATCGTCAAAATATTATTACAATCTAAAAATATTATATGCCTTTAATTAAACTGCTAAAGGTTGATAAGCCTTAAAACAAAAATCAGTCAATCAAAGCAAAGTTTGAAATTGGACGCCATGTATCCAATGCTTGTCCACTGAGTTATGCTTGCAATGTGTGATACATTTGTTCATATTGCAATTAAAATTATCATAACAGCCTTTTCAAACATTACTGCAGTTTTTTTTTTTTGGGGGGGGTGAATCTTTCGTAGTCGAAACTTTTACTTCTCGTGTTGATACTATTACTGATTCGCACACAAAAGTCAATTCCATGTTGATACATTAGGGACCTGGAAGACGTTCAAGAAATTGCATTGCTAGTTGAATGAGATGGGCAGTTGGTTGAAACGGAATCTGAACATTCCGGCCCATGTCCTGTCGACGGAATAGCAATTGTCAGAGTTGGATGTATTCCCGACACAATTATTGGAGCTGTTGTTAAGGAAAGTATAGAAAAATTCGTAAGAGCAATACACCCTTTCCATCCGTATATACTTAGTCATCATTTCTGCGTATCGTCGAAACTTTCTTATTATTTGAATAAACAGATTCAACTGGAAGGAATATATTGATGCACTTGAAAACGCATGAGAAAAATTTTATTAGTTTAGCGTCTTTCAGTCAGTGGTTAATGAATTTGATGTCCATTGAAAGTAGCAGGCAATGTAGTCTTCTCTTGAAATCGTAATTGTGCAACTGAAATTCATCCAGAGTTCTGCACTCATTGTAATTGAGAAAATTGGTTCGAAAGCCTGGAGAAAAGTATATATATATATATATATATATATATATATATATATATATATATATATATAAAACAAGAGAGGATAGTTAAAAGTATATATATATATATATATATAAAAAAAGAGAGGATAGTGAAAAGTATATATATATATATATATATATATATATATATATATAAAAAACATGAGAGGATAGTTAAAATATATATATATATATATATATATATATATATATATATATATATATATATATAACATGAAAGGATAGTTAAAAGTATATATATATATTTATATATAACATGAGAGTATAGTTAAAAGTACTGAGCATGAACTACTCAAAATTTGACAAAAAGACTAAAATCCTGTCTTGGTCAAATGGAGAGCTTTTCAGCACCTAACTATATATATATATATATATATATATATATATATATATGTGTGTGTGTATGTGTGTGTGTGAGAGTGAGTGTGTGTGTGTGTGTGCATAGTCCAAGAAATACAATTGGGCTATTACTACACAAAAAGACAATGGTTAAACATCGTAAAAAAGAAAAATTAATTCTTTTTATTAATATGTGGAAATATCTAGCTTTTGCCTGCTGAAGTTCACGAGACCGGAAACAGGTGTAGCAAAAATATGGAAAACAAAATATAATAAACATTTTAAAAAATCCACATTATAACCAAAAACCTTTGCGGTTATCTCTTTTTAAAATATATTTTTTTGAAACTGATCTTCTAAACACCACTTTTCAGAAAAATAGGAATCAGTTTCAGAGGCATTTAGATTGTATAGTTAAGGATATTAATAAATCCAACCAAATATTTGTTGAATCTGATAAAACTATTAATTTTTATCAATTTAATATCAAAGAATACAATGCATTAATCACAAAAAATTTAACTAAGAATTATAAGAAGTAGATATTAACAATATTGTGTTGATAAAATTAGCACTGCTTTTAGTAATATTACTGATAAACTTAAAATTAGCAATAAGGTTAGTAAGCTTTGTACTAAAGAATCTTATATCTTAATTAAAGATCATAAGTTAGACTTTCAGACCAAACTTCCTACGAGGGTCATAAATCCTACCAAACCAGAATTCGGAAGGATAAGCAAAGTTATCCTGAATCGGGTCAACAAACATCAAACGACGCCTTGGACTTATACGTTAGATTGGTACCACAGAAGTCATTAATTGGTTTAGAGGTATTAGTAACAAAAGCAGCTGCTCTTTTATCCAGTTTGATATTGCTGATTTTTACCCTTCCATCTCTGAGGATCTCTTTACCCTGGCTTTGGAATTTGCTAAAAAATATTCTATCATCTCCAGTGAAAAGATAAATATAATATTGAACTGTAGGAAATCTGTTCTCAACAACAATAAAGAATATTAGGTTAAGAACTTATGATTACTTTGATATTTCAATGGGATCATTAGATTCTGCAGAGTCTTCTGATTTGGTGAGTTTATTTATTTTATATATCCCCACAGCCCATGAAGATGTCAATATTGATTATTAACAACATTAGGTTTATACAGAGATGATGGTTTTATGGTAATAAAAAATCCACTAATATTAATGTAGATAAATTAAGAAAAATGATTGATAGAGAACTAAAAACTTTAAATCTTATTGTTAAGTTAAGTACTAATATTAAACAAGTAGATTTTCTTCAGATTTCGTTAATGATATATTTCAACCTTCTATGAAAAATTATGCCAACCCAATTTATATTCACCGCCCCCCCCATCTGTAATCCAACATATACCTTTGTCTGTGGAAGGTAGGATTAGCAACTCCTCATTGGACAAAGATGTGTTTGATAAATATAGCGGTTTTTATAATAAAGCTTTAAAGAATAGTGGTTATAAGTACGCTGAAATCAAGTTTAGAAATATGATGATAGTGGTCCAAAGAAAAGAAATCGAAATCGAAAGATCATTTGTACATCCTCCACAGCTAATCAGTTAATTAGTACTAAGTTAGGACCTTCATTTAATTGCTAAACATTTCCCTAAAAGTGTCCCTTTTAGTAAAATATTTAACAGAAACACATTAAAACTAAGTTATAGCTGCACCTATAAGCTTGAGAAGATTATAAAGTTACACAATAATAGAATTTTAAACCAGTTTAGTAATCTGGATCATAATACATGTTCTAAGATAAATATTGATATTGGCTAATGTAATTGTAGGAATTCTGACCAATGCCAACTGCTAAACAAATGTTTAACTAAATCTATGGTTTATCTTGGTACTATCTCTACAAGAGAGAATACGACAGTTCGAAAAATTCTATTTTGGTAGATTCTTTTAAGACTAGGTCGTATCATCTTATCATATATATCTTATCATGCGATTGTAATATCTATCTATCTATCTATCTTTTGTAATCTCTCTCTCTCTCTCTCTCTCTATATATATATATATATATATATATATATATATATATATCATGTTCTTTAAATATACTACTTACAGAAATAATACATCACTTTCTAAATATTTTTGGAGTTGATAATAAGATTTCTAAGGTGAAATGGAAAATTTAAAAAATAGCTACCTTTAGCTGCCAATCTACGGGTCATGGCCCATTTATGAAAAATAATTTTAAATTTTTGCTTAGTTTAGATTTAACATAGGTCGTATTTGATTGGTTGATCAGAGTAAAGCCCACAAACCTTATAAAACCCTTTTTTTCTTTTTTCGTAAAAAGAAGTTGTGTTTTGCTTTTAAATCTAAATAAATCATTCACTCGACAGTAATTTACAATCGCATGATGACATATATTGATACCCTTTGAAACTAGACTGCAATTGTGTAGCGACTTTTACATGTTTTCAGTGTAATATCCTAAAATAAATAATATTGCTCTGTTCTGTATTGAATCTTCTTTTGAATTAAATGGAATTGTACTCTATTCGTTCTCATCGTACCTGGATATATATATATATATATATATATATATATAAAATTATTTATTCGAAAATTATAACATAAATATGTTATAAAATCACTACTAAATAGGCATTTTGTTTTAAAACTTCTGGTGTCTTATCAAATGATGGTGTTGAATGTAAAATAGGTTCTACATTCAACATCATCTCTTGATAAGACACTAGAAGTGTTGAAACAAAATCGCTATTTTTGTAGTGATTTTATAACATATTTATGTTATAATTTTCGAATAAATAATTAGATTTGCTCTACTCTGAATTGAGCACTCTTTTAAGAATAGTATTTGTTGGTTATTGGAATTTATTCCGTATACACCAATCCTATACTTGGATATATATATATATATATATATATATATATATATATATATATATATATATACTGAGTGCCCATAATGTTCGTGTGCACTTTAAAAATGTATAACTTTATTTGTATTTGCGATAGAAATAATTTGTAAAAAATGTTATAAAATTTAATGTACCTAGTTTTAAGTATAGCTAAAATAACTAATGTGATTTCTGGCATTACTGTAAAAAATCAGTTGTTTTCGGTGAACTGCAAAATCGTATTACCCTTTGTATTGCTAATGATGGAGGACATAGGGAAACTTAACTTAAAATTCAATAAAACCTTAAAAAATATAGATTTACTTCTTTCTAATTTTTTTTTTACAAATTATTTCTGTCGCAAATATAAATAAAGTTATAATTTTTTAAGGTGCACACGAACTTTATGAACACCTGTATATATATATATATATATATATATATATATATATATATATATATATATATATATATATATAAACATTTTATTTTAATTTTATACAAACATCTATTTTATATTTTAATTTAATTTTATATAAACATTTATTTTAATTTTATTTTATATGAACATTTAATTTAATTTTATATAAACATTTAATTTAATTTTAAGAAACATTAAATTAATTTTAAGAAACATTTAATTTTATTTTATTATGGATACCCTGTATATATATATATATATATATATATATATATATATATATATATATATATATATATGTTACAGGGTGTCCTAAAAAGATATACCCACATAACTCGAGACAAATTGCTTTCATTTT